TTTCAAATTTTTACTCATATTATAAAATAAGGTTTACCCAATTATAATACGAGTATAAATACCTACCTATGTATTTACAAATAAAGAAATGTAATTACTTCTAACTTTTTTTAAAATTAATTTTAAATATAAATAATTACCCAATAAAAAAATATAATTAATAAATTGAATAACATAATTTTGTGTGGTTTTATTTGATCAATCCATGTATCCAAGTATGAAATAAATACAGATATTCATGTCAGGCTCTTTCGAAATTGTTCCAAAGAGTTTCTTATTCCTTATACTTCTACAGAACACCAATTAGATGCAGAGAGCCAAGAGATGTCCATACCATTAGCTGCACAAATGCACAATGCACATTTAATATAAGTTGATAATACTGACGAATAACTGCTTGACTCCATTGGATGCACTAAACAAAGGAATATTTCTTTAAGTATTTTAGTTTAAACGTCTGTATAGGTACAATACACATTAAAGAAACTGTTTGATGCCTTATACATATCTACTTTTCAATCAAATTTTATTTAGCCTCCCCACCCCCTCTCCAAGAAAAAATCCTGGGTGTGCCCCTGGCCTACTCTTAATCGAAGACATTATGTTGGGAAATTTTGGCGAGGCATCGGTTATCATCGACACTCTGTTTTTCAATGTTGCCGTTCCTTAGTAAATAATAATATATACGTAAATATAAGTGTGAGTGATCTTATAACCGTCGTGACGGTTTTGTCGTTTGTTATTTATAACGATGTACTTATTTTACAGCCATACACAAAGGCTTCTGGACTTCAAAGAAACATCGAACTTACTTTAAAAATAAAATAAATGCTAATGTATAGTTTCTCTTCGTAATCCTCGTTAACGTGGTCGTTTCGATTTTTTCGTTTCACATAATGGGACAAACGACACAATGTCTTACGAAAAGTACGTCGTATACTCGTATTCTATTATAGTTTTGAACACAATGAAAAAAAAAATAATAGCGTATATATATATTCGTGAGCGGACGCGTCGACTCTCAAAGGAAAGAAATTCTTCTTCGTATTTTTTCTTTGACTTAATTAAATTCCGTATAACCAACCTTTTGGCCGTAATTGTTGTAGAATCGTTTTTCGGACAACAATTGCGGTTTACGAATCGTAAAATGTCGCTAACTCTTCCCTCCTGCTATATCAACCACGCTACGACCTTTGTCGGCTCTAAACTTTAAGCAGCTTTACTTCATAAATCGCTCGTGTTCAAAGGAAGATTATGTTTAGCCTATTAAAAGTTTCGTTATGATGGGTGGGTCTTAAAAATCGTCTTTCGACATACTTTCAGCAATCATTATGATTATTGCAACTTCAATCGTTATATTGTCAACCATATTGGCGGAGGGACGTACAATTCACAAGTTTACTATAACGCAAATAATATTTTTGTTATTATATTATTTTATACTTAGCAAATAAAATCGTAAGGTTTGACGTAAAATATCCAAAACAAATACCAACCGATAATATTATCTATAGTACGTATAATATTATATGCAGACATGCAGTCATGCACTTATACATACTTGATACTAGTGTTATCGTTCGGTGTTGTTTGCTTTGTTCAAAGACAATTTTTTTTCGCAACACACTGACCCCTATGTTGTAGACCGTACTGTCATAATTTGTAAGTATAGTTTAGTATATTAAATCGTTCATCTGTTTCTTATAAGTTCTGAATCAAAGGCAACTAGTGAAACAGTAGGTAAACACTATTCTTCCTAATAAAACTACATTCGTGTTTTTTAGCTCATACTGGATCTTACATCCTAAGGGTAAGACTAAGACATATTTTTGACATCGATAAGTTACTGGGAGTAACCGAGTTGGTTTCCATTTAGCCAAATTGGTTCCGATTAAAAAGCTATTTTATTAAGTGAAGCCGAATTGGTCTTCATTTAAAAAAGATATTTTGTTAGGCAGAGCCGAATTGGTTCCCGTTTGTGTTCATGTAAAATAGTTACAATTTTAATTTTTAATTTTAAATAATTGGTAAAAAATATAAATTATAGTTAGTATAACATATAAATGTACCTACACTCTACAGTTACTTGCTGCCCGAAATTGGATTAATTCTTTGACTATGTTCATGATACATACATAATGCCAGGCAGCACATCTTGTGTAGCCCACAAATTCGGGCTATATCTGACAAAAATATTGATTAGACTACAAACTTGCAGCGAACGTTCCATTCAAAGCTAAATAAAGAATTTATAAGTTTACAAATCAACGACTTTAAATTGTATTTATTATATTTTATTATTTTTATTTTGTACACCTAACCTAAGTGATGACTATAGTTGACTTCAACGATTTTAAATTGTGCATATTATATATTTTTTTTTAACACACATTTACCCAATTCGGCATGTAGAGTTTAGGCTCGGAAACCAATTCGGTACCAGCCAAGTTACTTGATGGATATAGGTACTAAACTATAATTATTATTATTGTGTTATATTTTATCATCAAAAATCTCAAATTTCACTCTTTTATAGTTTTATCACGTCTTAATGTTAGACTTAACCTTAGACTTTTATTAAATAATTTATTATTTTTTAAATGTCAATTAAATAGATTTGTTTGTGAATTTAGAAGTCTACTATAATGTTGAAATTTACACTTATAGCAATATGCTTCAAAAAATATATTAAAATGTAATACTAATACTGCTGATATACAATTACAGAATTCGATCACACGTAATGCACAGTTGTTTTTATAAAAGCATTTGAATTCAAATTAATTGTTCAAATGAAATATAACGGTTTTTCCTTTGATAATATTGGTGAAATTTAAAAAGTATTAATCTATAGACTTTTATGTAGACTTGAAACTTTTCGTTTTTACACTGGTATATTATTATTTCTTATACATAATTACTATCTTACTCTCTAACTTAATTATCTGTAACGTTGTTGATATTCCTTACGACTGTTGTCATATCATAATGTAATTTGTAATTTAAATATTTTTTCTCTATTTACCTTGTCCAATTAAAGAGTAAAATATTGTTAGGATATCATTCTTGGAAAAGTGAACCCACGAAAATGCATGTACCTGATTTGCCTATCCATATCGCCGTGCCAACCTAATTTTATTTAATAAACTATATCCTTTAAGAGCGTAAGATACTGGAAATATAATAATAATAGTAAAATGGTAAAATGATAAGTGACCTTGAAAGTATGCTTATGATTAATTAAGAATTGATATTCATGAAATGTAGTATTTTATTATATGGAAAATAAATAGGTACACTGATGAGAAAATAAATTCTCAAATCATTCACACTTACCCAGTGCGGTTCGTACTAGTAAATAAATATATGGGTATACTCATCTTTAAAATACTTAACTATTTAAAAATTTTAAATCATAAGTAAATCGTTTGGATTTTAATTTTAACTTAAAGTAAAAAATATTTGCGATAAATAATTTATAATGACAAATTATCAATCTGAAACCAAACTCTCAGGTTCATTTAAAAAAAAAATGTTTACATTTATAACTAAATCGACATCATTATAAGTGTAAATTCACCCTTTCTATTTCCCCTCTTATATGGCCTAGGTCTATGCTAAATAGTTATAATTTAATATTTACCATGACCAGAAATAGGTACAGTTTCTATTTTTTAATCATAATTATTATAATTAAGTACAGCATGTTATCAGAAGCATTGATTTTATAATACATTATTATATTTTATGAAATCGATGTCAGTAGTAAATAATTAATATCATACGTACTATTTAAAATACCTACAATTAAAAATAATACAACAAGAATAAGTTTTTACAGTTTTGAACCGACGACGCCGCGGAACTGCTTTCGCATTGCTTCCGCGACCGAAATACCAGCTACATTAAAATATAATTATTCTGATGATAATGTGTTTAGCATAATAATATGTGTTGTGTTCACCACATGGTGAAATGATTTGTCTGAAAATATTCGTCATAATATACGGGGCAAACTCGGAGAAATACAAAATGACAAGTAATTTATTATTAAATTTGAATATACTTTAACGAGGGTTCGCGTCCCATGTCAGAGATTGTAAGTCTATAGCACACTTAAGGTGTCAGGGTTTAAGTATTCAATCTTACGGTCTGACGGCTCGAAAATGGGCGAGAAATACCCTTAAAAAGTGTAACAATGTTTGCGAACACAATTTCAAAGAGTTTGTCGACGTATATGACGACAAAAAAGGGTCAACCTCGGCAATACGGTTCGCATCGGTGGACGATCAGCTTTTTTTTATTAATCTGAAATCATAATTTAAATATACCACGTATGATATTATGATGTATCAACGGTAACTATGATATTTTTATAATGTGGGTACGCCTATAAGAATATGCATATCTGCAGTCCTGCAGAAAACGTTATGTTCGTACCGCCTGGTATACTAAGAGAGAGATATCATATAAAAAATACTCTTTTGTAAGACTTGTTGTACTTATGCATCATGTTTTACGCTGTACTACATAGATACTTATGGTAAATTTACATACATATGAACACTGTAAAGCGTGTACAATTTTTAAAAATGTTGCTAGACATTCCGTGGGGGGCGGGGTGGTTACAGCCTACCTACTCTGTCAACTCGATAGATTATACTACTCTACTATATGAATATATATATATTTATAAATAGGTAAGTTTAAGAATTATAAGGTTTAACTGGAAAATTGTAAATTATAAAATAATACATGATATATAATTCTGTCGAAGATAATTTGGTACATCAGGTACGGAGCGGACTATTGGTCGTCATATTTTCAAACTTTATGTGAGGGAGGTGATTGGATAGGGCAAATCATCAAACTCGAGGAGAAAACGTGGACCATCTATGATCTGTGTTTTTTTTCAGGTAATTGGATTGGGATAAGCGTGATTATGTGCAATATCATATCTGAAATATAGCTTTAATGTTATATAATATATTATAGTCATGTTGTAGTTGTAGTTTAATATTATATTTTTTGTCCATTTTTAAACATTTGTTTTTATTTTATTTTTGATCAGTTTGCTCTTCTGATTCGCTATAATATGATATCAAACCACAGCACAGTCATCAATGTCTGGTGGACAAAAACGTGTAGGCAGGGTTAGTTCATTTCGATGATGAGACGGGCGTGAACACTTCGTAATCGGCTACGGTGAAATTGTAGTCGCCCATCAGTGAGTTGGTCGTCGCGTTTTCGCCGTCGTACGAGTGCGGCAGGTTGCTGTAGCTGTCCATGTTCGCGTTGCAATTGTTGGCGATCAGCAAGTCGGCGCCTGCCCCGAATATCGGACCTATCCTGTAAGCGTACGTGGTTTATTGCAATAAAATTATTAGTGCATCTTACGATAGTAGTATCAAATACCATGTACGATTGGAGTAGAAAACTTGGAAAAAACTTTTCAAGATAAGGTACCTAGGTCCTATTCATTTAACATGACTACAGTTTATAACATGAAAAACTCCTGACATTGCTAAATTGTTTTCATTATTTGGAGTTTGGACATTCACTTAACGTAATAAAATGTAGGGATTCATATTCTATGTTATTTTTAATATGATAACTAGTAAATATATTTTTTGTGTGTTATTCGTACACACGATAGTGAAAATATACATATACAATATAAACTTCAAACTATATACTATACATATTAGGCATATAATATACTATTCAACTACAAACTCAATTGTTTTTGTTTATTGATTTACATGTTATCGATTGGGAAACTTAAACCATGCTAAGTTATGAAATTATAAGTAATTATAAAATTAACATGATTACGCGGTATAAGTTACATTGTAATAAATAATTTAAAAAAGTAAACAAAAAATTATATTTACTAGTTTTCATATGAGAAATAACTTGAATTATATTAGACACACAACATGAAATGCCAAATAGTATATTAAAATAGCACGATGTTAAATATTTAAAAACTGTTCAGTCAGTTTATGAAATAATTGATTAGGTATTTAAAATTTCATTCAGGATATAATTTAACTGGAATTATTTTAAGCCGTATAGTGATGTGAGAAAATTAAGAAAACGACGATGTACGTGAGTAAGTTGTATAATTAGTTCTAATCAAAAATGCATGTCATTTTATATATTTTTAAACCTCAATGTTTTTTGAAAACTTTCCCCGTGCGTTATTGTACACGGTCTGCTTCTGCATAATTTTATAAATATCGAAGTCGGATTAAATTTATTGTTCACCAACATTTTTATCACCACTTGTTTCTCCTGACACCCTCATTTATTTATTTTTTATCATTATAACTTTGGACAGGAAATTATAATTTTTAAAGTGTAGGGTAAAGAGTTTAAAATGCAATACAATCACAGTATAGAAATTAAATCTGTATACTTACTCTTGATGGTAGCAAATAGCGTAAGGTTTTTTAACAATATCGTATTTTATCGGTGGGGTGTCTTGAGTGGTGCTGAGCGAAAATAGGAAGCTCTTGTCGGACACCATGTAAGCACCCTTGGTGTGACTCTTACCCCACGGTACGTCACTGTATCCTCCGCACAGCCAGCCGTTCACGCCCTGTACATGGAAAATAAATAAAAATCCATTTAAAACTCACGAGGGACGATGATTCAGGGGTACACCTATATGACGTGTGCAAATGTAAGATTGTACTATATATATAAATATGCATTTACAATTTGTGTGTACATTTAATACATACATCATGCGAACCACTCAGTGTCATATAGATTTTAGAAACGGCAAACTTAAACCCGAGCTAATGGTCATACTATTGTATATTAAACTATTATAATATACATAGCAAGTGTACAAAATGGAGTTAAGCGATATTTCATTGAATATTTTTCTCATACATTATAGATGACTTTTAAAGAGTGGTTTTATTGAAATACAAGAATCCAAGTGACACGCACATATTTTATATGGGTGAATACCTAATATTTAAACGTGAACGGTTGTGATGGACTGGTTATTGCTACGGGAAAATATTTTTTTAGAAAAGCGAATTACTCTTGTAGAACGTGCTTAGAGAATCTACAACTTATTCTACTATAAAAATATGGATTATTATTCGCATGGAACTTAATAATTTTATAGAGTGAACACAAATAATTAAATGTACGTACTCCGTTGTTATTGATGTTGACCATACTTGACACAAAGAGAACGTGTTAATTATTTTTAGAGGAAAAAGTAGGTACTTTATGTTATTAATATTTTTATTTAATTGATAAATTCTAATTTTCTATTGTTTTTTTTCAAAGAGGAAATCACGTATTTTTTGTTTTGTTTTGTATTTTACAGATCAAACAAAAAACTAACGCGCAATAAAAACGTGTAAAGATCAAGGGACCATCAATAGCATAAAGCAACGGGGTGCACCCGTTATGACGAGGGTGTAAACATTTAAAGGGAGAAAAATTTTAAGTTTTTTGTTTTTGTTTGTTTGTAGAAGCGTGATCACATTTATAATAACTAATAACATAATGAGCACGGTTATTTGTGCGTATGATTTGCATTTGTATAATTACCACGAGCTCAATATTTCGACGAACTTTTATAATGACTATTTTATTCGGTGGGGTATTAGAACAATTTGTACGAGTGTAAAATTGGTAAACAATTAAAATATTTGTTCATTGTGCGAACTACAGGGCAAAATTGGGGTAAAAATTTTCAAAAGTCCCATAAATTAAACTTCTTAATCAAAATGTTATTTTACACTTGGTCGACGGTTTTATTTTAAATTCCAAAGGTTACACAACGCCAAAAGCATAGCTAATACAATATATAGGTATAATATGCACCGAATTAAAAGTTTAGAATAATTTGAGGAGGACGTAGGTGCTTATGGGTACAACTGGATGATTAAAAATAAATAGGTATTGAATTTATAGCTGAATAATATAATATTGTTTACCAATACTAAAACGTAGGTAGGCGACACGCCATCACAGTGCTTGTGAAACGATTCGGCGGAAAACCCGTCGGTAGACGCTCTGTATATCAACTTCCAACACTGTTTCACACTGCCGTACCACTGGTTCAACACACGTTGCAGGTGGGTTTTATCCTAAACATACCACATAGTTTTAAAATATCAATAAGCGAATACGGCGGAGGGGTCTCTAATATGGCATATTGTTTATAAGACACATTATGTGACTATATAAAAATTGTTTATTATAATTTTATTTTTAAGCATGAATCACCAGCGGCAGCTTCAGTGCTGACACACACAACACACTCACTTGACTTAAAATATGAGATCCCGAAAAGAACTTGAGCATGACTCGCGGTTGTAGACGATGGTCGTCCGATATCTCTTTGAACTTGTTCGGTAACGCTGCGAAACGGTACCGTTCCAGAGACATTTCTATGGGCACGGCACCTGTCGGTTCCACTTCTTCGGCAAACACCTGAGAGTCTGTAAGCCGTCAATAAATACTTGAATACAACCATTTATGAAATCGATTATGTACGGTATGTAGTACTTATATTATATAATAATTTATTGGTTTCAAAATGCCAAGAGACGTGAAGTTATAATTAGGCTTACTGATAGTATCAGTTAATACTCAAAGAAAGCTTTATATTTTATCGCATATCTATGATATAAAATTATGTGCATAATAGTTTGTACCAACAAATCTAGAAGCAAAATTGATGATATTCACACCCGATGTTTCTGACCGAATAGATTACCCATATAACGTACATCGATATCGTGAGACTGTGAGAGTATAATGACGTCAGAATCAACGACAATATCTTGCCGATATAATGTAGTATTATTTTAATAATTAGTATTTAATGTGCATTATTATAGTATCATGAAAACAAAGTAGATGTTTCACCTATCAACAATAATCTGACGTGATTGATGACTCCGGACAAGTGTTGGCACACCCTGGCTCGTTCTTCTTCGGTCCAGTGAGCTGTCCGCTGCACCACGCCCGCATGAAATTTCGCCCAGTTCACCACGGCTCGCCATACGTCCTCCTCTTCGAGCGCTAGCTGTAAGCAGATATACACCTTAACATCATAGGTACTTACAGGTGAAAAGTCGCCAATCGTCGAATAATATTTTGTAAAGGTTAAAAAAAATATTATGTATCATAGTTCTGAAAGTGGCCTAGCTTACGCAATCTGACGATATGAGTTTGATCAGGGATTCCTTGGGTAGGTTCAGGAACGTGTTGGTTTTCACGCATTTCGCCGCGTTTTCGCCCACAAACGAAACACATCGATCGACGAAGGACTTTGCTCCCTTTCCACCTGCTAACATTCCATCATAAGAATACGAACTGTATTTTATACATTAGTCCACATTAGATGTAACAGGATATAGCAAGGAAAAAGTGACAGTGTTTTTTTTTAAGTATTCAGAATTTTTAATGTCCGTTTTGCCAGCACTGCTACTTTCGAATTTTTAAGACAAAACTTTGACAGTATTTTGTTCTTTAATTTGTACAACCAAAATAAAATTGTGCCCCCCTCCCCCAACACGAGAAAACCCGATTTTGCCATGCTCGTGATGGAGAAACGTTTTCTCAGCACACCCTTTGCCAAAAGTTTAACAAATTTTTAGTTTGAGTACTAATTTAGTGTCTAAAGAAATTAACCAATACTTATAAATCTGATAGATAGCGGTATCAATAAATTGTAATAATATACTCGCTGTTGTCAAAATGTAAGTATTATATTAGAATTTGTTTTACAACATATTACTATACATCTTACCATATACCTATGGTTCTGACTACAGTTAAAGATAATATCTATAGCCATTGTTCTTACAAATAACAATTGACCATTAATTGTTTTCAACTTGTACGAAAAACCAAGATGTTTACTTGGTATTATATAATACTAGCTGATTCTGCACTTCGCTGTCAGTGACAAATTAAAATTTATTTACCTGTCTAAAACTCCGTTAAATGTAACACACATTTTGAACTTATTCATTTGAGTGGTTTAACAAAGTATAACTATTATCCAATGAATATAACTATTTTTTTTTCTGTAACCAATTAAAACCTCATACGATCAAAAAAATATTAGTTACTTATGAGCCAACAAATCCCATTGGTAAGCACCTCTTTAATTTGCAAACTTTAAAAATTTGGCTTCTACAATCGAGATGCACATCTTCGGATATAGAGATTACCTGTGTACTAAATTTCAGAACCATGAGTGCTATAGACTTGATTGTGGATCACTTACCCACACACACACACACACACACAAACATTGCCTTTTATTAATATATCGTTATATCAGTGTACCTATCATTAATATTGTTAATTTAATAATATATTTCTAACATAATATCGTAACACACCTAACTTGTTCTTTCAAATCAAGTGGCTATCCATATTTATACTTAATAATATCCAGTTAAGTCACATTGTGTATGATAATACACGAAAGCACGTGGTAAAGTCGTAAGACATAAAAGTATATTTACTGGAAGCTCTGTCCTGTATGTCCATCGCTGCTGCCAAAAATGTACAAGCGTTCAACACGGACATGGTTGAAGTTACGTGCTCTTCACAATTGTTTTGCAAGTCTTCTACACCAAGTTCTTGAGCCAGCGTGAGCATTTCGAAAACCCCGCTATCTTGTAAAACGATCTATAATAAATGTAACACACCAAAAATGATCAAACACCGAGGAAAAAAATCATTTATTCATACATTGACAAATCGTAATCGAGTGATGATACCCGTCAATGCCAAATGCATTGCTCAGTAAGCATAGGTTTTTGGGTTTCAAGTCAAACGTGTGGTTAACAAATTTCGTTTATAAATCTACAGCGAGTATTTACAGCTGAGAACACTCGACGCTCCACTCGAGTACGACGAGATAGGTATACTCGAGATGACATTATAGTTTAGTTCAAAACATTTTCACTCTTTTTTGTTTAGAGGAAGACATTCAAGAGTAATTTCTGCAAATATTTGACAAATATAATCTACATATCTATTTATGTCACGAGACACCAGAGTAGAGAGAAATAAACTTTTGATCTGCCATCTAAATTCGAAGCTTGCTAGGTATTTTATATAGTATTTATGACCACAACATATAGCTATAGCTATAACCACGGGTGAATTCGATCGATAATACTTTCATATTAAGGCAAACACAACACGAATTTGCCACTTTTGTTGTTTATTGCCAATAATAAGTAATAGGCATTAGAAACACACATATAAATGTTATAAAAAGTTAATACTTTTATGGTATGAAGCATATATGTTGAAACTTGGAACCACATAAGAAATCCTACATTCGTGAATTCTGAAACTAATTTTTTTTCAATTCGGTAAATTTTAAATGTTAATGCAATAATTTGGGTTCTAAAATAATATTTACTGACGCATTTATTAAAGAAGCGAATATTAATAAGAAAAATACAATTTTTGATACCTATATTATATAATATAATTTGCATATGATTGCTTTGGTTGGAATCGTTAAAATTTTACTCGGCTGCAGGCACATGCGCGTACTCCTATAATATACGAACATTAAGCACGCTTTTTTATTATTTATCTCTAAACAACGAACAAAACACCAAGCACACCGCTATACCAGCACCTGAACTTTCACAGCTAGAGCGACAAAAAAGTGTTTATAATTTTTCATGGGTGTAAGCTTGAACTTGTGACAGTGTACCACGCGGCCGTAAATCACTATGGTACCGGAATAATAATTATGAGGGTTAAAGCATATTTTTTGGGACCCTGGAAGTTCCACTACAACGTAATAAATAAACACGATTATAATTTTAATGAAAGTATAAATTTATTACTCTACTGGGTCACTGTATATGCGTGTATTATATACGTTCGTTTTTCGTAAATAAATATTGTGCAGGTAAATATTAGAATACGTTCTTCGCATATCAATCGGACAATACAAATAATATTTAACTTTTTGTAAGGGAAGATGCGATAATCCTAATTTTAAACGTGTAGATGGGAGGGGTATTATTATTATTTACCTACATAACATTCAGAGATTAAAAAAATAATTATCTAAAACTAGAAGCATCTATCTGGAGATATTTTTGTCTTCTTCCTGCGATAAGAGCCGAGACTAGTGTTTTTAAAATAATAAACAAGTATAAACTTGTCGAGGGTTTTCACCACCCAAAGGTAACATTTTCATGGGAGTAATTTTTTGTTAAATTTATAATAATTAGTTAATTACGCCTTTTACTAATGAACACTTTTAAGATTTAATTTCTTAGTATTTCGAGGGGGTTGGGAATAGTAAATTAACCATGCCAATCTTAAAATACAAATTAAAAAGGAGTGAAAAATGTTGCAAAGAGTCAGCGATTAGTGGTTAAGATCAGTGTTTCCTAAAGGGTTTAACGAGACACTCGGTATATCGTGAAAATTTGAAGTTTTTTTATTCAGACCCGTAAGAGATAAGATTAATACAAATATTATTAAAAACAATTTTGAGTTATTGAGGAATACAAAATATTTATCTGAAGTGTGCCGTGACTTTCAGTAGCCAGAGGTAATCTATTATGTGCTATGAAGAAAATAGGTTTGGGAACCACTGCTAGATTCGTGTGTTTTACCACGTTGAGAACAAAATACTGTACCTAAACAAAAAAAAAGAAGTAATGTTTTCAGAGGGAAATATTGTTTTTAGAATGTTTTCTAAAAAATTTAGAAATACACACTCTCGCTTCAAGAACGTAAATCTTAATTTTTACTATTTTTTTATGACAGGTAGGTTAGGTTAGGTACACAGTTTAATAACACTAAACATTATGCTCGACGCAGTTATGCATGTATTCTAATATTACACGTACCTTGCCTGTGTACACATAATTGATGAACTGTTTGAAAGTCTCACCCTGGAACTGCGGCAACCGGATGGGGGTCGGCGTCCCGGGTGCGGACGGCGATACGGAACAACCGGGTATGCGACATATCTCACTCCGCTTCACCGACTGGAAGCTTTTGCACCTGTAACAGCATATTTATCATCAATCAATAATCGAGGCTAAATTATATGTAATAGTATTGGTTATGAACAATAATATGCCATTTAAATAAATCAATAATTTCAACGTAGAAAAAAGGCTTAACAGTTAAGACAAAATTCATTAGTCCAAAGTGTATATAATCGGTTGTATCGGTTCCTCCAATAATGAGATATCGTTTTCCTACACTGGATATTTTCCTCCATTGTCAAAATAATAAATTGTTATTTATTTATACACATATAATATTAAAATATTAAATATACTTATGTATTTATAATTATTATGTTTACTAATTAATTATTATTTATTACTTTGATATGACATTTCAACTACACATTTATATCTATTCAAAGAAAAGAAATATTAGTTGATAAATATAATACATACCTACACCTAAATTATACAAATATAAGTTTCTAACATAAAGATCTAGCATATTATGAAATAACTTCTTAAAAAAGCTTAATTATATTGGATGGAAAAAATATTATTTTTATAAGTAGGTGCTATCATAAATACTTATACTTATAAATTCTCTATAGAACCCTGAGTATAATGGTTATACTATAATCCCAAGAAGCGGTGATGATTGATAAACAAAATTACAAACGTCTTAGGCTTAATCAGAGTGTTTCTTTATTCACTAACCGTTAGTGCCTTATTCTTTCTTATATAGTACACAACACAACATTTATGATTGAAGTTATCGGTAATTTTTTTTAATATTTGGAGGAAAAATACATGATTTTAGTATAAAAAAATGTTTGGAGGAAAATGGAAACCAACCTTTTTAGTGGGAGAAAACACTTAATAATTGTTGGGGGAAAATAGTCCTGTCCATAATAATTAGAGCATACCATCATAATAAATTCGTACAACCATTGAACCGTAAACGGTTTGAAGTATACAAGAAAACAGATTGTACAGTAATTTTAAGATTTATTAGATTATTTATTTATTATAAGGTTATTTTCATTAAAACAACAAGATACTACAAAACACTTGTTCTCCATCCAATTAAAAAATATAACATCGATAAGTAAAACAGCTATCAACGAGTTAAAAGAACAAAACAAAATTACTTTGTGTTGGAACACGAAGAAATGAATAATTTAAGATTTTAATTATTAATAGGTCACCGTTTTGAAGAATATGACAATGAAAAATATATTTTTTTTAATTGTGCAATGCATTTTTATATGAATATTGTAATTTAAAAACAATTTTCATTAGTAAAAAAATTAATTACATTTTTTACTATAGCTAAACTAAGGAAGTAGGAAAATTGTTCAGTTTTATACATTTCATCAGTTTCAATAAAGTCGAATAAACAACATTTAAATATAAGGTAAGTTCTATAATTTGTTAACCTGAAGGATAACGATTATTTATACAACACAATTATCTAGATGTTTGTGTCTATATATAGTCTATTATAATTTTTCGTCGGTTTAGATTATAGAATCATAAGAACAAAGTGTGTATTAAATATCAATCATAATATGTCAGGTAATAACGATTAAATTACTTGATTTAAACTTCCTCAATACTACTACAACTGTTGGTTTGCACATCTTTCAATGGAACATATAATAACATACTTATTTTTGTCTACATATGCTGTAAGTAATTGGGATAAATAGCGGATCGACCAAATATATGGGAGATAGGAGTAAATATAAAATAATTATTTTTCATTATCTCATAATATATATGTACACGCACACACACAGACGTCGTACACTCTTACTTATCATTGTTTAGATATATGGACACTCGTAAAGGCGTAAAGGCGTAAAAATTAACCCAGGCGGTCTATATATGTATTATATGTATACGAACAAGTAGTAGTGTGTAAGAGCGGAAACTCACCGAGCTTGAAGAACCCGAGTGGTAAATGAATGGCTTTTTGCATTGTGCGTTGTGTTTCACTAAAAGCAATATTTCACAGGCTTAAACACACACACACATATACACACACACAGTGTTGGCTTGTTCTTATAGTGTGGTATACACGCTATAATACTATATATATGGCTAGGTCGGGTCGGGACCATTCATCATTTAAAACGTTCCAAGTACACGACCGTAATCCGACTAGAAGCTGCAGCAGCACCGAGGACACCCTGGCCCGGAGCCCGCGAGCACTTCGGCAAATGCCTGCTTCTAACCCTTTTCTCTGTGGCACACACGCCCGCCCACTCACCCACGCACCGCCAAACCAACGACGAAGGCAAGGTGGTTACCGCTCGTGCTCATCCGTCGCCGAGGTTAAGAGTTATTATTATTGCTACATATATATATTTATGTTTAATATTATTATTGTTATCATAAGTACAAACGTATTCCAGGGCATTATATTTATGTAAGTTTTTCTTAATGCGATCGAGTTTTATATTCTTTATTACAATTTATACACACTTTTAGTGACGACATGAAGGAAGAATAAAAACAAATGCTCTCGAAAAGAGAAAAAATACAATTGACGACGAAATTAGAGCTCTTGATTTTTGAGATGCACCTATATACTTAACTATATATACACCCGTTATATACAATACATTTATATTTACTTTTTATGTGCATATGTACGCATGCGGCGACCTAAACTACTAAGCTACTATTATAATATCGGAATATACATAGGAATATGACATGTATGATATAATGCATAATATTCGTGTGTATACATTATATGTATCATATGTGCTCGTGTATAAAATGGAAAAATATCTACTTGTACATAACGCATGTACACACATATAACATATTATATATTGTGTAATGTATATAGTGTGTATAAAATGTCGTTTTTTTGCCCGTAACACAGCATCAGTGCTCTACTTTACATAAACACATTCGTACACACACGCGTGTTCGCATAATGCCGACGGCCCGTGAGTTTTTTCTTTACGATATAAGTAGCAGGTCGAAGGGGTTGTCATGTGTGCGTGTGTGCGAGCGCGTGCCCAGGCGTGTATGCAGAGAACAAAAAGATCCTTATTATAACTTATTCCTTTGACTTTGACGGGAGCCGCGTCATTATCATTGAAAAGAGGTATTAAAAAACTTGGGATTTTTTACAAGAGCCCCGAGGGAAATATATATATATTATATATACATATAAATATCTGCGTGTGCGGTGTGCGTGTGTGCGTGTAATGATACTCTGCGGAGCTTTTGTTCCCCGCCCTTTGCGCAAAAATCTTTTGATCTCTCAAAGGTGACAGTGCACTTCGCCCCGGCCGGGCGCGTTTTTCGAAAATAATCAGACTTGGTTCAATTAGCCGGCGGTCTTGAAATTGCTACCAACAACGTTAATTATTGTATATAGATGTCGCATAAAAATAAAAATAAATGTATGAAACGACGCTCAACCCTTTTGTGCGAGTGGTGCACTTTGTTGATGCCGGTATTGTAAGTAGGCGCGTTTGTCTTCGTTTGATTCTAAAGTAGGTTTTTCAATCTTTTTTCTATGTCGCTTTTGTACGCACTTGTGTCATGTAAAATATATAGCACACATTGTTACAAATATCAAACAAACTGATCTACTAGTAAAATGTGTATAACCTTTAGCAGACATTTTTAAAAATTAAATGAATCCATTGTTTTTGAATATTGTAATTTTAGATACTGAGCAGAGTGAGATAGGAAATTATTTATTTTACAGTGACGTGTGCATTTTTCTGTCGGAAAATCACTCTTGACATCAGTATAAAAAGCTCATTTTAAAGTATTATGGAACTATAGCGGACATAATAGGTTATGTCATTCACCTTTTAGAATGTAAGTTTAACGCGATTTTCGTATTTTTCGAAATATTTACTAGAATTTTTTTTAACTTAAAAATTTTCAAAAATAATGCTAATTTAATAAAAGTAAAAATTAAAAATTATTAAATTTTAAAACCAATATAGTGAATTGGCTTATACCCCAGTGGCCCAGTTTAAACCTATTCATAGGGGTATGCTAGCCGCAATAACCAAAAAATCTTTAGGCTTTACTTAACAGTAATTCTTCTACATGGGGTATTAAGTTTGAATGTTATTTATTGCCTTATTCCAAATCTTAACATAATAATTATTTTTAGTATAAGTACTTTAAAAATTATTGTTTCATAGTTTTACAAGCCCTATGCTATTTGTGCGTGTATCTGTTGTTAATCATTAGTATATACTGTATTTTAACGCCAATGTTAACTATTTATGTTAATTAATCCTTACTATATTTTTCTTGTACACAAGAATTGCAACCAGTAATGTATTTAGAAATACGATTTCCTTTCGACATTCCCTCCGAATTGGATGTGTGCCGAGAAAATTAAACTCGATAGTTGAATTATTAGACGTACGCGTTTACGGTTGAAAAAACATCATATTCGTTGATTAAACACTCGCTGTTGACGTTTTGAATTACGCTCGTATTTTATTCAACGCCGGTAATCTAAATCCTTGTAGTTGAAGCACACTGGTGGCAGTGGTGGTGGCGCAGCGGAAAGGTAAACTTCACTAATCACTTTTTATTGCCGTTCGGTGGGTTTATTTATTTTAATCAAATCATTTGTCACACTCGCTTCCGCGGAGCGTTGTCGCTGCAACGGCGGTTCTGCGAGTGTTACGTTACGGTGCGCAGAGACTATAATATAAACGACCTGCCCGTTTTCTCTCATTGTCTCGGATTTATCATTGTCGAAATAAACGAGGATCGAGTACAAAAGAGAAGCAGAAATTGTAAACGAGTTTGTTGGCTGCGATTTTTTTTCCCGGCTACATAGTGTATATTTGTATTTCCATTGTTTATCATCTGGTGACTGGCACGTTGGCTTGTACGGACGTTCGAAAGACAAACAAATACCTTTAGGTACTTGCTGTTATATGGTTTCGAATAATTCTACATGCACTACTACCAATCGGTTAATATAACATGAGGAGAAAAAAGTGGCGCACTCATTCATATTGGCTATGATTTATAATATTAAATATTGTCATCAAAATAACAAAACGTAAAATGCCAAAGTCTATGCTTTTTCTACCCTAGCAATGCTTATTCTCGTATGTGCTATGGTGGCATTGTTTATATAATTTTCAATAGTTGCCAATATAAAAAAATATTATATTTTGTCTCTTATAAGCAACAACGGTTTTAGTTTATTATCATTTTCACAATTTTTTTTTAGTTTTTCAAAATTATTAAAAAGAACTAAAAATTAATTTAATTTAATTATTTTAATGCCCTTAAGTACTTAATCCGATTTTCTATCAGAAACCAACACTGAAAGTCTAATAATATTTTTATATTACAAAATGTTAAGTATGGACAGACTTCAAAATTTCATCATACTAAAACCAATACATTAATGACCCAGAATCTTAAAGGGTGGGTGGTTAGTTTGAAAAGAATAAAGTTTAAAACGACATATGCCATTTCATAGAAGATATACAAAAATCTAATTATTTGAAAATATGGTCCTTAATTGAACTTAAGGTTACAAAAATCAGAATTTAAATAAATTCATTATTAAAGGAAAAATAGGGATGAGCATTCATGGTGAATCGATCAAGATTATGACTTAGGTATGTAAAATATAACAATTAACATTATGTATCACGTGGACAGCGTATTTATAAATAATTATAATATTCATATTCATATTTACAAATGTATTTATACATTGTTTTTATGTACGCGTGATAAACTTTAAGAATTATATCATATCAATGAGTCGAATCAAAAACCTTTATGGGTGAAAAAAATTTCTATTTTGACATGTCATTCGATTTTTGAGAATTTCTGACCCTCGGTAGTTTGCTGTGTATTGCCTGAATTTATTTTGAAATTGTTATAAAATTATAAATTACTAATTAAAGTTCAAAATTGTTATGATATAACTATAAAATGTATGTAAAAAATACAGAATATATTCATAACTTAATATCACAATAAAGTTAAAATAGCTATTCTTTATTGAGAATATGATTTAAGAGCGGTTAAAATACGTCGATGAATAATTGTTAAAATAGTTTATTTAAAGATAAATATTAAATGAAACTTTAGGTAACTATTACCGTCGTACACACTACCTTTAATAAGAGAAGGACGATTTTAGAGAAATAAAAATATTTGTAAGAAACTGCTATAATAGCATCCAATTACTTTTTCTACTGTTTAGTTGCCCGTGGCGGAAGTACATTATTAATTATTAATACATATGGAATACGGATACATGCTAATTTAAGAATAGGGTATATTGAGTAGAATAATAGTGCTTTGATATTGTATTGAAGACATATTATTATAATAATATTAACGTTAAAATGTACTATAATATTATGTATTTACTTATATTGTCTAATTAGTAATTATGCGTTATTATTGTTTTTAGTATTTTTTCTGTCATTCAAATAAATAAATCCAGAGTGGATCTACACATCTCAAATAAAAATAAATTGGCATGCAGCAAATAATAATAAAAAATTAAAATACGCCTAAAAGCCTCCAGATTTATTTGTTTCAAGCCATACCACAATGATACCGAGAACATCATACTAGGCCGATTGGATCAAAGAACAGTTCAATTAATTCCATACAAAATCAACTCAACAGGTTTTCACATAACAAAATTGAAAAAAAATCAACAACTATTCAACAAACCACTTCTACTTCAAGATATTTTACATTTATCATCATCTGAAGATATGAACTAAGTACCTACAACTAATTTAATAGTATTCATATAGGACGTAGGAACTTACTTTTTGTTAAAATAATTAATTAGCTAAATAATTGAAAAAAAAATAAGGAATAAATAGGCAATACCTAATAAAAATAATGTAGGTACACATAATGTCTCCTGAAAATTGATTTTGTAACCAACGAGATGCTTCTTCATCGACTATATAATATTATATTTGTCTCGTTTACTTCTCATGGACACATTGGACACCTCAATGACATGCAAACAATTATTTATTAATATTATAATTTTCTTGACGAAATAAACATAAATAATCAATTCAGTTATATCTTTTAATATAACTAATTTTCTGTAACTGTCACTAGCAACCAGTTACAACTAATCAAGTTACCTGACCGACCACCCCTGCATAATTCATATACATTTATAATAATATATGACTTATAACCTATAAGCTATAAGCGATATAGCAATCGGTTAGTATCATGCGCGATTTATTTATTCGTTCGTTTATAAAGGATCGATTGAAATCCGATGGACGTAATATGAAATACATTGACTGGATGAGAAAATATAAAAATCAGTGCCTGCAATCCCGAGGTTAGGTATATTTGCGTCAGCGTTTCCGGACTTTCCCCCGTACCATATTCGCTCAAATAGGAGGAAATTATAAATTTCCCAGTGTATAAATATTGAATCGCGACTCGTTCCGACGGAAAAATAAGACACACACATAATACCTATATGTATATTGTATATATATATATAGATATAAGTACACGGTGTTTTTCACGCACGCACAATTTATTCGACGTGTTTGCTCTTACGCTGCAGCGTGCACAAGGGTTAGATTTGTCAACCCTCTAGCGGGCGGAGTATATACAATATTATAGTCGACGGAGTAAATGGGTTTTCTGCTGTAAACGTTGTTGCCGGTGATTTCTTTTTTGATTTTTTGATTTTATTCTGCCAGCCGAGAACCAGCGGAAATGAGTATGTCGTCTTGAACGGAAATCGGTTTTCCACAGGAAAAAAAAACCAATTCGGTATGGCCGTATATTATATTACGTACACGGGTTACACCCGGTAATGCGTGGTAATGGAAAACGGCGAAGTACGTATTATAGTAAGATATATAATGGTTTTGACAACCGCCTTCTCTTCCGAGGAGCACTCAACATCACTGAATGCAGAGATCGACAAGTCGATATATTATATTATTATGTTCTACATGATGTGTAGTGTGTACCTACCCTAATTACGTTTTATTATTATGGTGCATAGATTCTTTTTTTGGATAACAACGTTCGATATTTTTGGACGTTTGAAGCAATATATAGGCAGTAGCCAGTAGGTAGGCTATATAAATATAGTAGATGACCGAAGTTAAAGACGCACATGACGTAACATATAATAATATACTATACGATTCAAGAAAAGCGTAGAAACAAACTGGTAATTCAATTGTCTATGCAATTCTTTATACAAATATACTATAAATAAAACGTAAATCTATGTAAGCACATTATAAATACTGAAATAATAAATATCTTCTAACATAACTTATTTAACTAAATCGTATCTAAATAATACGAGTATCGGAGTATGTATCTTCTTATACAATTATATAAATTTACAATGAATAAAAACAATCAAGGTACTTTTTGCTTAAAAACTACTTAAATCCTTAAAATAATAAAATATAATTAATTATACTTCAACATAAAAAATTTAAAAAAACATTGGTATAAATGTACAGTAATTTATTGCCGAGTAAGTATATCAATTCAGTATTAGTTATAATAAGGTATGAAGCCTGTAATTTGTATAATATTATTACCTACTTCTTTGAACGGCGTTGTTCCAGGTTATGTAGGTACGTTGATTAAAAAAGTGCATTTTGTATTTTTGATTAAGTGTAAGTTATAACATATTATTATATAAATAATGCGCGTGACTGAGAGAGGACGTACAAAACATTTTATTTACATCACCTCATTCGCATAATCGTCAAGATAAATATTATTCAAGTACGTTAGTGACCCACACGAATACACATAGGATATTTTTGGGGGGATTTGTGCTGGTATTAATTTTCCCGGAATTACATATCTCTGATGCTCTAAAAGAGAAGGGCATTTTCTATAAATACATTAGCGAGGTAAGGTTGTATTGTTGATAAAGCCCTTGTAATGACACCATGGTTCCCCAGGTTTTGGCACATACTTTGGGAACCATTGCGTTATATCCAAATTATTACACAAATAAGGTAAATTATAAACTTAATAAAATATATTTTTTCAATTTTTATTGCACAATCGGTTCATAAATAAATCGAACAGTAAGTATAAATGTGATGTGTAAAAAAAAACATAATTCACAGAATGAAGAACTATCTAATGAAATTATAGGAAGAACTTCAATTAATAAAAAACGAAAGTTTTATAGTTTTTGATTTAAGTTGTTTAAACAAATAATTGTATTTATGTAGGTACTTTTAGGTATAGTTTTGTAGAATATAACAGTAGTGCAGGCATGTTTGTCCTGATAAATAGCTTACACTCGCAATTTTTATTGCCTTTAAATTATCATTTTTGTTATATTGAGATAATAATATACTAACCTCGTCATTAAGATTATACGATGGGCATAAACGGGTACTTCTTCCCGACCAATAAGGAACACAATATCGGCTGATTCATGATCGTCGGCCAATTTTTGTAAGTCTTCTAGCAGCTGTGGCACCCCAGCAAACGTCTTGTCCGAGAAATGCGCTGCTGCCACTCTCGTTCCCATGTTTCCGTATTTTCTGTTATTCCGCTTTAATACCCTGCTAAGTCCGCTTCGACTCCATTCGATCGATAGACCCAGTAAATACTAAAAAACCCATTTAGATTAATTCCGATTTTTTTTTTTTGACCCAACGCAGAGGGGTTCCATACATATAAGTAAATCTGAAAAATGCATTAAACCTTTTTCGTAGCGTTCAAATACGTGTACAATATTTAAAAATTCTGTTAAAATGTTTTCTGATACAGTGAAATGGGTCAGTCTTAAATAAAAACCATTCAGTGACAACAATACAATCATATAAATATGAGTGTTGAGTTTACTGAAAAAATTAGGTTAGAGATTTTACATTTTACTATTTTAGCTATCTTCATGAAATCAAAATACATAGGTATATAATACGGAGAACAATATCAAAGTGATAATTTTGAAAAACCATCAAAAACCGATGACGTGTAATATCAGATGTAGTATTCTATTCTCATCTGTTTTACCAAAACACCACTTTAACGGTGGTGGAACATAGTTCATATTATATTATTATAATAATTGTTTGTTGAGTAAACGGTGGCGACGGATTCGAGATGAATGTTGGTGGTTAGGTTTCACGAAGCTCAGCTTTGAACAATATATTTCCGAAATTTATGGAAATCGTTAAAAATGTATTTATTTAATCGTTAAATATTCTATAATCGAAATGTATAGAACGTCATTGACGTGTTAAACTGTAATCAATCTGAAAAACCGATAGAATTCATAAAAATTCGAAAATAAATATTAGAAACCAGAAGAAGCAAAACCTCGAGTTAGAAACGAGAAGGCGCGAAAACCCAACACTCGTAAAATCATAACAACCCCCCCGAGTGCCGTTCGCCACCAATTAACTTGTGTATAAATCGACGACAATGAAATATATCAATGTTACAATACCTATAATGTTCGTATAACGCTCGCCGCTCGGCGTATTAAGACGAACGTATATCGCGATGGCATTAGCCGTTTTAGGATATCGAAACTGTATAGTGTTTTCGTCGTTAATAGAACTTATTATTGTTTCATATTATGACTGTATAAACATTATATTGGTTCGGTTTGTGGTACGTCATAATGGTACATCTCGTCTACGACGTCGCTGTTATGCTCGAACGGCGAGTTTAGTAAATAAAATTTGCCGTTTACACAGCATAGTAAAACAATATTATACTGCAATAATATTACTCACCAAAAGAAAAGAATACCGTGCACGCTGTGGAATCGGCGGCACGTGAAAATAGAAACTGTTCGTTTTGTGTGACGGGCATGCGGCGCGCGTGGTACGAGAGTCCCGGTCTCACTGCCTGCAGCCCGCTCGGCTGCTCCGACGTCCGATCCGAAAAAATAACGTAATACTTCTTCTTCTTACCATTATTACTATTACTATTATGTATTACAACCGGTCTTGCAGTGTAGCCTTACGACGGGATCGTCGTCGGTCGCGTGATTTCCGAAAACACCGTACAGCGTTTATAAGAACACCTACCGGCCGTAACGGCGCGGCGCCGAATCTGAAAACTCAACACTACTCCCCGTCGCGCGCGTCATAGTATAGTTACTATTTACGTCGAATCTAGCGATAATAATAGAATACTAAACATTGATATGCACCGCTCTGTTTGTGCACGTGCAATCTATTCGTACATTATTGCAGCAATATTAGTCGACAAATAATAATATTATGGTCAATTGGTCGGGACACGGTTTGCAAAAAGAAGCAAAAAACCTCGTTCGGGATTCGCGAACATACCCGACCATTGGACATCACTGCGGAGCGGTGCGGCGGGGGTCCAATCCGGTTTTGTTGCCGTCCGCCGCCGGAACAATAAACGCAGCCCCGGGGAGAGAGATGATGATGGTAATAATAATATAAGCCATTAACCGTCGTTGGAATGTTCGGGTCTCTCGGCCGCGTAATACATAATAATATAATATTATACTTATAAGTTATACGTGTGTGGTGTGTGCGTGTATACATACTATAGCAGTATGCATGTCTGCTGTATACGGCGAGTATACCTAATATATAATAATAATATATGTAACACGTGCGCGTGCATAATTCATATTTTATTATAAATGTTTTCAATGTACAGGAGGTCACGCAGGTAGTAATTTTCACTTGAATACTCGAGTGCGGGATTATCCATTTCACTGGCTCACACTAATTTTCCCAATTTTCCAAGTCAAATTTTGTATTAAAAACGTAATTTTCTGTCTCGTATCTTTTTATTTTAAGTTTTTCAATTTTTTTTAAACACACAAATCCATACAGTATTTAATTTCGAAAGCAAAATATAAATAATTAATAATTATAAACTAGTTTAATCAATATTTATAGTCGACATAGTTTTAAGAGAATTATTCTGATTCCGATAGTAAATTTAAAATATATAATTTGTAATATTAAAATAGTTAAGAAACTTTAATAATCAATAGGGTAACAACTAACAATATTGAAAAATTATAATATAAGGGGAAAGTAGCTAAGTACATAACTGCTCTGCTGTACAGTAGATGTCGTCTGTCGAGTGAACCTCATCATTGAGTATGTCACTGTAAATTGTAATAGTTTAATTTTTTTGTAAAATTTAAATTCAATGATAAATCATTGCACACGAAAAACAATTCTGAGCGAAGATGACGATCTGTGATTTTCGACCTATATATTACTATTCGTAACGAGCTAGATTGAATACATTTTTGCATAGAACATTGCATTTATTTTACCTCATTATTATAATGGTATATTTATATAATTTAATTTTGTTATTAAATATTAACTATTTAGTTAAGACCGCTTTACTGTAGAACGGTGTGAATAGGCTTGTGGTATAAAATAGTTAAATATAGGCATAGCTTAAAATCAATCTAAATATTTTGAAATTGTCGTGAATGTATGTGTATGTAAATCATAAATTATGATAATATGATATAATTATACTCCAACGTTTTAAGTCCCATGAATAATATTCTTGAAGTTCAACAAAATAATTAAAATTGATATTCTTTGTTTGAATCTCTAATTTAGTTGAACATAAATGTCTACGAAAAAAACTTACCTTCGTATTTTTTTAAATGTTTTGGCTTCAACTACTTATGAGAAACATTGTATTACATTTTCCAGTCATAGTGACACAAATGGAAAATTTCATAAGTTTTTAACTACCTACAAAATAAATTGCAAGTTGATGTGATTTTGATGGATTTATACAAAATTTGAACTTTAAGTTACTTTTAAATTACAATGTACAACATGATAAAAAAATCGATTTTACAAAAACTAATTTTGAGGAAAAATTGCTGTTTTCCATTTTTTTTGGGGGGGGGGGGAGTTGTCAATTATTAAGAGAAGTAGGTACTGGAGATTTTTTACGCTTGATCCTGCTTCCCTCCAAGGCTCCAAGTACCAAATAAATCTAATTTTCTTCCAGATAAGATATTGAAGAAGAACATCTAATCATTTTTACTGTTCCAAAAGCTGTCGACAGACCCAAAATTTAAAAGATACACATCGTTGTAATTTCAATACATTCATATCTTCGCAGAGAATCTAAATTTCAGTGTCACTTAGCACTCTTAAGTGTATTATTTAGAAGTATTTTAAACTATACATAAAATATTATGAGTTTCAAAAACAATACAATTGACTGAAAAGTAGTGTATCCATATGTAAACGAATGGTTCTCTCTATATACAACCTAGGATATGCCTATGCGATTCAAATGACTTATGATTTATGAATTATAATTGATAATACGACCTTAGATAGTCAGTAGTGACATGATGTATATCTCTTAATTTAATCACAACCTTAACCCGAGTCTAAATTGTGTCATTAATTGATGGCTTCTATCTCATGTTAGAAGCTTCTCACTCACACATGTTTGTAATAAAACAACATAATCACGTACATTATTTACTCACTGTGCTAATTTGTGCATATTGTGTATTTAATATTATATCTCGTTATATTTAAAGAACAAAAAAATAAATGTAATCACACCGACTGACGGACCGCATGCCTAGATAAATATGAATAAATGTTCAAATGTTTGTATGTATGTATTTAGGTACATCATATATATATGTGTTTCATATAATATAGTAAATAGTGTATATTTAATACTATAATAAAGTTGTTCGTCGTCTAAACATAAGAACTGGTGTATATATAGGTATACATAATATTTCGGGTCCCCGAGACGATGGCGACTGTACCGGAAACTGCACCGGACCGGTCGTACCGAATAAAGTTTAAGCGGAAGCTTCCTCCCACGCCCTTCCACGGCAGGCCTCGGGATTAATAATACTGTGGTATGGTGTATATATGTATAAAATATGTGTGTGTGTATATATATATATATGCGAAAAACGGTCGGTGGGGTGCCTCCGCCACCCCCGTTCGCTATAATTAGACGGGCAAAGTTCTACGCTAAGGTCCCCGTATAGTATATATACATCAAAACGCCCCCGTTCGTAGATTTATGTTCAGCTCGTAAACCTTCCCTCCCCATACCAGCCCTATCCCACTTCATCCCAGCCCATCGCAACTCGTCGTCGCTACCCTCTATCAGGCCGTCGTGTAGTGTAGGACACGACTGCACAAAAGACCCTTTTGCTCGACTGCCGATCATCTTCGAATTTGCAGTCTTAATAAGAGGTGGTGTTTTTTTTCGTCCAAAGACAGAAGATTTCCTACAATATTAAAATATCGCTATTATAATTAAGAACAACTAAATTCCATATATTATGTTCATTATTGTCAAGAACATAACAATCGACCAAAAAATAATGAATACAAAAATCATTAGAAAATCGCTTTACTGTATAGTATACGTTTCGAGTGAATACCATCATTAAGTAGATACAGCAGGTCTCTGTAATACTACAAGTGTTTACTAAAATACATGTTCAACAATCTAGCGCTCAAATCATATCTTCCTTGGAAATTTTTAAAAAACTATTACAAATTTGGTCTCTCTTGTACAATTTTATTTCGAGGGGTTACATTGATTGGACTTTCTACCAAAAAATTAAATTGTAAGAGCCTTGTTATTTTTTTTTTAATTTATGGTACGTTTTCATAACCTCTCATCTTTTGATTGATCAAGTGTCATTCGTCGGAGTCGACCCCGTCATGACTTCATTTTACACAGGAAAATACAAGAAACAATTATTGGATTTGAGTAGATATGGATATTGTTTAAAAATAATAATACTCATTACATCTGTTATAATTTTAAATATACAAGCTGGAGTTAATTGTAAGCGAGTTATACTAGTTGTTAGTTACCACCCAGCACTGCCATGTGTTATCGAAAAGTTTTTATTCGTTTTTTTTTCTAGCCTCTGACAGTTATTATTAGGTCTATTGGTAAAATAAGCATTTGATTCATTAAAAATATTATGCATAGATATGCAATTAAAAACGTCAAAAAAATATGACACTTTAGTAACTTGGCTGCGGGCTCAAAAATATTATAACAACTATGCTTTTCCGACGGTCTTAAAAACTATATTAGTGAATTCTTGAGAACGTTTACACTAATATGCCTTTTTTGCAAAAAATGGCGTTCGAAAATGTCATAATGTGGATAAAATATGATAGTATATATTATATACTCAAAAGTTTCAAGTACCCACGAATAATATTTTTGAATTACAACAAAATAGTTTGTTAATTTTCAATTTCATAAATTTTGACAAAATTTGAACCTCGAATGCTTATCAAAAATCTTGATTAAGTATTTTTAATATATTTAAACTGAAAATGTGACGATAGCCTTTCATTAATATTTAAAACTTTTGGACCGAACGAATACAATTTTATTGACATTTAAATAAAAAAACAATACTATAAAACCCAGTGTACCAACACGTATACAAAAAGCATATATAATTGTAAAATCGTAGTATATAATACTGTAATAGTATATTATATTTAGTTGAAATTGTTGAATAATACTAGTATTTGAAAAAATAAACGGACCCGAAATCTAGCTGGTGCTGGCCGATTAATAATAATATATTATGACGACGCTGGCTAGTAATAAACAATGTTTTATTTTAAACAATCAACGACGCCCTAGGACGAAATTCTAAATCTGTTCACTTTTATTTTATTTTTCTGACCGTTATTCGCACCAAAAAACCTGTCAATTCCAAAATGGCCGAATCATATAACAATGAAACCGCCATCGACGTCGGAGCCACTTTAAATGGCTTGATTAAGATCACGAAACAAATAGACTACCTAACGATGGAAAACCAGTTAGGCGTTTTCGACCACTACGACGAAGATCCGACTGTCGAAGATCTGGCTTTACTTCTAAGTTATGCGAAAAAGTTCGTGGGTGGCGATGAACCGTCGTTCATAATCTCCAAACCGGACGAGGACTCCAGCAATGGACCGGCAGAGACGATTATAGAAGACGCGGTGGTCGCGCCCGTGGAGCTGCAGGAAGTGGACGTAACAGCGAAACTTGACGATGCGGTGGGCGTCTTGCCAGCGAGGGGAACTGAAGTCAGAAATAGTTTTGGGGACTTGATCGGTTGGCTGGACCCGGGGTCAACGAAAACAACACGCGCACCTCCTAGCGCGCGGACGACGGAGCTCGTCTCCGCCGCTTGGAGAGGTCTCACGGGTGCCGTACGCGCGATGTGCTGTTGTACCCCGAAGTGAAGGCGTCCGAGAGTTCCCCCCCTCGCCGAGGGCAGCAGACAAGGCAAAGAGAAGTGGGGTCGAGTAAAGGTACGTGAAAGTGCACTTCTAGGGTGATGGGCGGTAAGTCGCCATACACGTTCTCCGGCCACCGGCGGTGGTATGACGGGTTAGCAGACGTCGCGAGCTCGAAGACAACGACACGCGAGACCCTCTGGCGGCGCGGCGGACGTCCGGCTGCTTCGGTCGCGAGTGAAGACGATGACATGACGTCAACGGTGACGGCGGCTATCTGTACCAGCGAGGGCATCGACGCCGCCCCGCGGTACCAATGACGACTGCAGTGCTGCACGAAGACGACTAGTGCCGGTAACGGCGAGGACCACAGAGCTCCCTCCGAGCTTAGGTCACCGCTTTCGCCGGCACGACAGTCGACGTCTTCAGCACCTGCAGGACCGTCAAGCGCATAACACCGCGCACTAGCCGCTCGTCGCCAACCGTCATCCTCGTCGTCCATCTCGCGGCCGTCGTGGCCGGGTTTCGTCCGCTGCTTTGGTCGTCTGCGTCCCGAGCAAACGCGCCCGCGACACTCTTCTGCCCCGTAGGACCGGCCTGGAGAACTGTGTTTTGGTGACCAGTGGCCATTAACTTGCCGACATCATTGAACCACCCGCTCGCCATCACGTACCCCCCACTTCACTTTGTCTTGTCTGATGCCTTTTTTTTTTTTTAAAATTATATTATTTATATTGTTTTTGCAATTTTTTGCTTTGCACCTCTTCTGTGCTTTTTTCAATTTTCGGCTTACAACCATTCAAAATTTTAGTTTACTTTTATAGAGTGCTTTACTCTCGTATAATGTTATTTAAACATACAATTATTGTAAATTTTTCAATAATAAAGAAATTTGTTTACACAGTAAAACGTTGTTTTTTATTGTTCGTATTAAAGAGTACGATTTTATTTTTTTCGATAGAATAATGGACTATAAAAACAATATTATTATATTACTGACTAAATATCATTCAAATATATTGAATGTCTTGGCTACATGAAAGTAAGTTTATCGGTGTAATAAGATTTATCCTGACACAAAAATCAATACATTAATCGCTTGACTCAGAATCTTATATAATAATAGTAATAAGTAATAACTATTGTTTGTGTTTTTTTTTTGAATTAACACCACATAGGAATATTGTTTTCGTAAAAGTGTAGGTACTTAGAGTAAAGCTACTAGAGTCTGACGAGTGACGACAGTGGAATGTTTGGTGTCATGCCGATGTTTTGGTACCTACTTATACTTAATAGAAAACATATTACACAAAATGAAGATCATATAGGATTTAATTATCGAGGTATTTTTGTTATTTCATCATGAAAACAATAATATTATTTTGTGTCTTTGATAACTACAATATACTTATTTCTATTTACACATTTTAAAATTTTAAAATTTTTTGTTATTATTATTGATAATATATTCGCATTTACATACTTCGTAAGCTGGTACTTTTTATTATCTTTTTAGAGATTTTGTATTTCATACTATGGGTTATGAAATACATATAAATGTGAGCCCAATAATAATGACTAATGTTTGATATCGTTTGGAAAAATAGTATTTAATTTTGTTCCTTACTTATACGTATGAAGTTAGATTTTCATTTATAGAGATGATCAAAGGGATGAACTTTATTACCAAATTTTATTATCAAACTCTTTAATCGCTTCGACGATGCAAAGGCTTTGGGTCTACTGTTCTATTAGTTTACTAAAACCAATCTGTAATAGAAATCGTCTATGTTAAAATCAAAAATAATTCACTGCTTATGAATAAACATAAAGTTTAAAGTGTTGTGTGGGTGGAGGGGGGAGGGTAGGTGATCAAAATCATCATACATTTTTTTCGACGCAAATTCCTAAAGATAAGAATTTCCATTCAAGAATTTTAACCTTGATAAAGGTAATACGTTCTATGAACGAGGATGAGCGTAAAATACTTAGTAAAATACTATAGGGAGAAACCATTAGAAATCGATAACAACATTAACAACGAAATAATAAGTTAAGATTTTAGTAAATGGGTACAGGTTAATTATGACTATAAATTTATTAATAATGTGATTAACATTAAAATTATCCCACAGCACTACACAAACGTTTTATCCCATAAATTACCCATCTATATAATCAGTACCTCTAATATTGCGATAATCACTTATTAACGATGTGATTGGGTAAGTAGGAATTATTTCCTCTGTACATTTTAACTGAACCTAAATTGATTGATATCGATTAGCATAAAAATGTATTCTATATTTATGTTGTATTAAGTATTCTAATTGTTGAACTATAATAGTTTTGTACCTACCTTCTGAGGATAATGAAAAAACAAAACATAATAATTATCAGCGATAAGATGGTTATATTTTATGTAGTGGAAAAGGAGAACTTAGAGTTAGCTGATTATATTTTAGTATTATATTATTATTACGAGTACACGCATTATGTGGCAAGACATTGCACAATCTGGTGTTTTATCGGTTATCTCTGTCAGAGGCTCTAGCGAACAGTTTTCACGAGATCGTTTGCTATAATAAATTTTATGTTATTCCTAAAATAATACAACGTATAATATAATATTAATATACATCACAATGAATTTATTGTTTTTGTCGCTGATCGTTTCCTTAGCTGTGCTAGCATGCGGGACAGATTCGATAAGAACTTCGATCAGGAGTCAGCTGCAAATATCACCCACAAATATAAAAATGGATTCTGAAGGTAAAAATACTATTAATAATTATATATTATATGCACGAAAAAACAGAGCTGCAAAAACCGCTTTCGACGCCTCGGCCGTTAACAAAAATTGGATACGCAACATTTCTAAGCAGAAAGTCAAGGAATCCTTTAAAATTAACGAGGGTGGCTTAAACATTCAAAATCATATTGCAAATAAAACCATTCTAAGGAAAAACGTCCAAATGGTTTTGATAAGGCCCAAGTTGAGGCAGTGTCCAGAAGGAACAGTTCGAGACAGTAGAGGAGAATGCGCTCTGAGATTTTCGGACGATTGAAAACATGATATCAATTTTTTTTGTAAACTATAAGTTTAAAACGTTAAAATGTCTAGCATTATATTATGCGATTGTAATAAAACCGCTTCCATATTGAACATTTTTGGATATTTATTATTTGTTCAAATTCACTGACTATATTTTTTTTACCAAATCAATGATCAGTGTTTAGTTTAAAATAAAATACACAAGAACTTTACATAATTTAATTTTAATTCATAATTATAAATTAGGTTTAGGTATGTAAAAATTTTTAATCGTTTTATAGTTTTCAATAATTTTCATAATATTACAGTGTGTGTAAATATAATTAAAAATGATTGTGCGCATTGCAGAATTGTAAAAATCTTTTAAGAATTATTAACTTTGTTATACCTAAGTAAAAAAAAAAAAAATAACATTGTACCGAAAGAAAAAGTTATTTTTATTTGATTTCAATAGATAAAATGATAACATTTAAAAGTTTTATGTTTATATATAGTGTTAAATTAAATTCTGGTTTAATTATTCGGATTCGTTAATATAATTTCAGTGGTATATTCTATTAGTCAAACATTTTTTTAAAAATAGGTAGGTACATTGAGATGATATAAATATTTTTATCATTATAGGCTATAGTCTATAGCAGGGGTGGCCAAACTGTGGCTCGCGAGCAGGATGCGGCTCTTGTCATAGACTTTCGAGTACATATTATCGTAACATTTTGAATTTGAATTTATGTATTTTAAAAAGTATATTTTATTAAATTACAATGTGTATAAAAAATTAAGCAAAAATATAGTGTTCTTGATATAATTTTTAATTTTTAATTATAGTAAGTTGTTCTACTCTATTTGAAATCTAGTTATTTTTTCACTGAAAACATGGCTGTGGTCATGATTTTATATTATATACATCGACTTTGGGCAGTAGATATCACACAACCGCTTCAAACAATATGAAATAATATTAGACACGTAGGTACAGTAAATAATTACTAGTCTCATGTTATCACCGTACTTACCTATACTATAAATTATGATCGGTGGTAATTAATGTGTAATATGTTATATCGATGAGTCTAAAAAGGAGGGGGTCGTTCTTTACTGCGTATATTGTAGACAGGCAGTGGTTCGAATACGTATGTGTATTATATGCGCTCGCTGGTGATAATTTCAAATCAGTCTTGTTTTCGATCGCCGCATGGTGCATATTATACAAATGTAGCTGGTGGATAAACATCACACTCCACGGTATTTTTCTAACGATGAAATTATCATTTTTGTTATTGTTGCTGACCTTTGTAGCTAATTCATTGTACGCGAGAAACGTGCATCAAACGACGACTAATAAAAGTCCCAATTACAAACACCAAAATCGGATCAACGGTACCACAAAGATCAACATTTCCACGTCGGTCATTCCCGTAGGACGAAATTTCAAACAGTTTCCTGCTTGTGATACAACGAAAAAGTGTAGAAGATCAAATAGTACTACCACAAACGCCAACAAGCATCGTACGAGTAATACAACACAGAAGTATACGAAGTTAAACGGTACTGATACTGTAACCAAGAAAGTTGTGATCGCGGATCACCAGACAACAACTGAATCAGATCTGTTACATACAAGATTTTTTATAAATCCTCCAGAAAAGAAGAAGGAATCAGCTTGTATGGAAGGACTAGCCTTAGCCGCTAACGGAGAATGCGTTCTTAAGTTTCCAGATGATTGAAATGGTATTACTTAGCTGTATTAATTAAATTAATTAGTTAGATTGTATAACTTATATGTTTACAGTATTATCATTTAAATACATTAAAATATTAAGAAAACGAAAAAATGCTTAAATGTTATTTGTGATTATTTTTTCTAATTTTCTAAATACATACTATTACAATAAAGTAAAAAATGATGTTCTATAGGTATAAAGTTTTTATTTAATTTCATAGTTCTCCATTTAAAAAAAAATTGGTAGTTCAATATTAATTACAAACGCATATAAAAAGTCTGAATAAATATAGTCCTTGATGAAATGTATAATACATATTATATGCATAGGTATAATAAAATTTGTATACATTTATTAGTTCATTAAATTTTTGGTTTGTACGCATACATTGGTATGTGATTTGAAATAGTTATTTGTATGCATATTAATTTATAATTACAATAGAAATGCCAAAATCAAAAATTCATGAATGAAAATTATTCATCTTAAATGTGCATATCAACATAATGGCATTTATTTTGAGGAATTGTTTTTTATTCTTTTATTTAGATACAAGGTCAAATGTTGATATGCGTTTCGTAATATTATAATATGTTTTTGATTTTATTTATTAAATGCACCATAAAACAACCAAAAAAAGAACAAGCAATTTAGTAGTTCCAGCTGTTCCAGATATGTAGGTATATTTTACATTATATATTTTGCAAGTATGTATATCGTATATCGTTTACTCAATTATATGAACATGACAATTGACACGAAGCCAATCTGAGTCGTATGAAATTAAACATAAACAATACCTAGTTATATGTCTCCAAATTGCAAAGTGAACATTGATCACTGCAATATTTTGTAAAATTAATTTTTTTTAAATAATCTATCACACATTTCTTCAGAATATAGGTTATATAATGATTATCTTTACCAAAATGTTATTAAAAAAGAATATTTGTAAATTAAAATATTATCAAAATAATAAAAACATCAATTATAATATATTCTTTGGGACTTACATAATATAGGTACTTATTACTATGTATTAGATTTCTCTCCACATGAAATAACAAAATATCTTCTATAATAAGTAGGTAATATAATAAATATGTTATAGTTGTAAATACATAGTTGTAAAAAATAATTTTTATATTAAATATAATATAGTTGTTAGGTCATCATGCATGGAGAATAGTGAGATGGTAATGAAATAAATACTATATATATTAATATTTTCATCAAACTGCAAACTCCTAAAACGGGACTATTTTGTTCAAGCTTCATCAATCTGTTACATTCACTCATAAATAAAATATACGAGGTATAAATATGAAATGTAATTTATTTTGACAGATCCGTTATAAGCACTTATAAATACATTTTAAGGGTTCGTATTTAATCTGCACATAAAAAAAACAAATGACTGTAAAATATAACTGTACAACCAATATATTTCCTCACAAAGTTCATTAGGTTTGAAATATAAAGATAAAGTAGGTGTTATTGATCTGAATGGACTTGTTTATTTGTTCTATGAGCCCACGGTCATCTCGGAACTTTAATATACACTCTGAGCAGTGGAAACCTATCAAAACCAATAATAAATACATCATAATATTAAATAGATAATGTGTTAAGTTCAGGTTAATAATCGAGATACGGCTATCATAATAATATTGATATTAAGCTACAACTGTTAGTGATAAGAGTGTGATAATTTTATAGGACAAAAACTGTTTAAAAAAATACCTACAAATGAACTAATGTATCATATTTGCTACGGCAATTAAAAAATGTCTGATTCTTTTTTTTCTATTAATAAATTATAAATAATATATTAATAATCCTAAAAATACATACCTAATTAAAAAGAAAACTGGAATTTTATTAATTATTACTTGTAAACTGGTTTTTAAAATTTTATTTTATTTGAATATTTCGTCCTAAACATTGTTTATTGTATCTCTGGATGTTTTGACTTTGGATTTTTTAGCACAGAATATTTTTTTCCAATACCCCTGTATATATATATTTAAAAGATTAGAATATTCACAGTAAAAATATGGTCTTAATAATAATAATAATAATAATAATAAAACTATAGAAAATTACTCAATATATTTTCTCTACAAGTAAAATCTATGAATCATTCAATCATAAATATGTTTTTGTTAATAAGAGTAACCATGACAACGAAAACCTTTCGAAAAATCAGTCAGAAACAAAAGAAATGCTGTGTCTAGTCCAAAAGCATATTTATGAAAAAAAATAAAAATAAAAATAATTATAACAATAACCTTTCTAACGAGAAATTTATCTGGGGTAAAGTTGTCTTTTTATAATATACCTATAAGAGTGATTCTACAAGCCTTATTTTTCCTTTAATAATGAATTAATTAAAATTCTAGTTTTTGAGAATGTTATGTATAGTCAAGGGCCATAATCTTGAGTACTTTGAAATTGTACACAATTTAAGGAGTATTTTGTGCCTGTCTAAACTTAAAAGTAGAACGAGTTGTTTCTGAATTTTAAAAATATATAATGTACTAAGAATAATAATAGTCCTTTAAAAATCATTTTACAAAACTATGAAATATAATATATTATAATTAATCTAGTATCTACGTATTAAACTCGGATGATTTTTGAACTGACTTATCGGCAAACATTGCAAATTTGTATAATAAGAATAAAACAGTTCATACATTTATAAAAAGTATACCAATACCAATAAAATATAAAACAACATGTTATTATAATGATATGCAAATCGCATGTTGTTTTGTCGTGGATATTTTTAAACATACAGGTATATTTTAACGATGAGTAGGTACATTTAACGGACTGCGAAAACGGTCAGATACTTCCTTGAGGGAATACACGTCTAACAGTGGGGCGATTTACATTTTTAATGCAAGGTTAAAATTGGTAGACCGCGTACCAAGCTGGTAGGTTTAACTAGTCATATTTCGAAGCCTGTACCCGTAACTTGCACGTTCATCGCTCGTCGTCGGATAGTACGATAACTTAACGGGCACAGTTAAGTTTTCGATTTAATACCCATTTTACATGTATAAAAGTCCCGTCCGTTGCCAGATTATTAATTATCGCGTTTAATAAATACTTAACTTAGGTACAAGATGAAAATGTACGTGATTTCGGCAGCTGTCGTCATCCTTGTCGTCGTTACTTCGGCGAACGCGAATAATGTCCCGCAGAATCCGGTTGAAAATAATCAGTCGAGGCCGCCCAAACCCAGTGCGATACTGCCGTCTAATAAAACAAACTTTCCCGTATCTCATATTGAGGCCTCACAAAAGTCAGCGGCCGTCACCACCTCAGAGGCCACTTTGGTCACGTCTGCGGCGACTACCTCTAAGTTGACGTCTACGTCCATAAACACCACCGCGACGACAGCTATCAAGGTACCTGTACAGGCCAACAACACCGCCGCGACAACGACTATTGATGGAATGGCCTACAACACCTCCACGACAACAACCGTCAAGATACCTGTACAGGCCAACAACACTACCGCGACAACGACTATTGATGGAATGGCCAACTACACCTCCACGACGACACCTGTCAAGATACCTGTACAGGCCAACAACACCGCCGCGACAACGACTATTGATGGAATGGCCTACAACACCTCCACGACGACACCTATCAAGGAAACGGATAACAACGCCAACTCGACGACGTCTGTTGGTGGAACGGCCGCAGCACAGCCGGCGATAACCGCCAACGTAGGCGAAGAATCTGTAGACAATAAACATATTATCATTCAACCACCTATAAGACAAACCGGCAAAAATCTGTGTCCGGAGGGATATACTATGACTAATAACGGAAATTGTTCACCAAAGTTTCCAGACAAATAAGATTGGCGCAGTTTCGCCGCCAACGAGTTTCGAGCTTAGAATAATATACAGAGGGATTAAACAAGCATGTGCACACTCTTTTTTATTTCAATAACGTAGTTATTCAAAATCTGATTTTTAGAATTTTTAAATATAAAAATTTTTATTTTAGCCTACTCAAGGCCCATATTTTCATAATCATTAGATTTTTGAATTATTTAAGGAGTTTCACGTGGATGTACAAAATTCTGTTTTTCAAATGAGACCGGGCCCCAGGGCCCATTTATAACGTTAATAATTGAACGTATATTTTTCTAAACATTTTGATTTAAGTACTTAATTCAAAATTTGAACAATTGGTTTTTAAGACATTTAACTTGTGTACTAAAAATAATAGGTCCATATTAAGATAATGGGTTTAATTGGTGATTTTAACATATTAATGATTAATATTAATCAGTTATCAACATTGATAATTTGTAAAATTGGTCCAAGTATAATAAATTCTAGATCCTGCAATATTACATACATTTTATATTTTTGAAAACCCATTTTTAAGGACTATTATCCTTAATATGAAAATTTTAATATCGATAAATTCAACTCATTCAAATTTTAAATAAAGAACATCAATTTCCTCCCCCAAAAAAATATCAACCAATTAATTTAAAGTAAAAAAGCCGGTTCTCAATTGAAAAACAGAAGTAAGTTTGTGTTCCCATAGGACACTCTTTGAGTAACACAAACAAATTCAAGAATTTTAAAAACTTGGCTTTGAGTTTATTTAAAAGCTCCAAATACGAAAAATGAATTCATTATTAAAGGAAAAAATGAAGGTGAGCATGATTGGTATATAACCCTGATTATAAGTAAAATTATTAATTATTACTTATTAAATTTATATTTGATGTTTTATGTAATATTTTTCATTGTTAAATTATATTGTAAGGGCCGATATAAGTATAATCACATGAACAAATAATTAACTGTCTGACACAAGGAATAGTTATACATTATTTAAAACTATACTGAAAATTTGTTTCGTTGGTTTGATTTTATGATTATTGAGCAAATACAAAATTATTATAAAGCTCAGTGATATTTTGAATATTTATTGTTTTAAAACGTGTTCAAAACATTTGGCTTAAAATTTTAAATACAGGGCGGAAGAGGAGGGGAAACAAAATTGGGAAGATTGGATATTGATTTCGATACTTGAAAAATATAGGTGTTTCGTTACACACTTGTGGTGATAAATATCATATAATTTAAATATGTTGTTTCGTATTCTACTTACAACCTACATCATATTATATTAACAATTTATTACCTACCTATTATTTATTCTTACCTACTTAATTCAGTAAATACGTATAATATGTGAAATGACTCGTCAGAGATATCGGTGCCAGAATAACTGTTGTTGTTGTTGTTGTTGTTGTTGTTGTGTGTACAAATAGTGAACATCATATTCATATTTGATGTCAAAAAGCTTTAAATTATCATTTCTAAAAAATTCGGTGGATGTAGATCTCCATAATTGTTCCACGGTCGATTTACAAAAGCATTCGCACTTTGATAAGTCTTGATGAATAAAATTATTATTATTTTTATTTATTTCGTTGTAGATACAATATTTATACATATTTATTGTCCTTTTTTAATTACAGTTGCTCATATGTAAGTTGAAGTGTTTACATATATATATATATATACTTTACACAATATACATATGATATATAGTATAAACATTATAGTACATATTTTTTCTATATTTATATATGATTCAATAGTATGCATAAAATAGAGCAGTTGAATAATACAATATAAAATTAAAATTCTCAATAATTATTAAAATCACCTACTAATCAATGAAATACGTAGCCAGTAGGTAATGCAATAATTCTGTACATTTGTAATATGTCTATATTTTGTTCTAATAGTAGCCAAAGTACTTATATATTTTTTTAAATCTTGATAAAGACATGTGGGTTGTGTTGATTTTTTGTACATGGTATAAGTACTTAAGTACTTTGATATTATAACTCAAATAAAATTATAATTAATTAATTTCAAGATATTTTGAACCTTTTTTGAAGAAACTAAAGCATGGTACCTGCAACTACCATGTCATTCATTGAGGTAATTCATGTGTAATCATGATATTTGTTCAAAATAATTTTAGAAAATTGAGTAAACTTCGAATAATGTAAGTATGCTTGAAAAAGTTATTAAAAATCCCTATGTTTACATTTTGTATCAAATTATAACACTAAAGATAGTTTTTGAAATCAAATTCATAAAAAAAAGGTTTATCCATAACATTTATATGCATCACACTAAACAACTCAAGTGATAATTATTTAAAAATAATCTAAATGCATATGATATTGTGTGATCAAGATAAATAGTTTGTCACAAATCCTCAAATTAAATGTGTAAAATATTTATGGTTTTTTTTATAATAATTATTGAGTTGGTATAGATTATAAAATAGGTAGGTATAATCGGTACCTACCCACTTTAACCATGTATGTGTGAATTTAAGAAATTGCTCAAACGGTTCAAATTATAAGTAGAGCTCGTGAGATAAAATGTTGTTTCCTATTACATATACCTTAACTAGAAAACAAAAAACAACGCCAGCACAACTTATCACAGGCCGGCCGCAATACAGAGCAATTCGGTTTTGTCTGCTGAAAGTGCCTACTTGAACTTGGGCATTCGGAAACGTGGAACGAAAAAGTTATTCAATTTGTGAACTTTTCACCATATACTTCAAGTTTAGAAATTAATTAAAGGTTTGTTGAAATTTTTAAATCACGAGGGAGATTTCCTCTAAACCAATATATGAACAAGTAACAACGAATTGCTACAACTGCAGCGTGTGTACGGTGTAATGGGCCGTATTATTATAAGATATACTTTATGACAAGTTTGAAATAAAATATTACGTAGTGAAATAGGTTTAATGATACAGACAGAAGCAAAATATTAAGACAAGTCATAGATAGAATAATTATAAGTATTTCGTAGGTATACTGCAATAGATAGCATTATATTTATATTCCCAGGAATAAATCAAAACCAGTGTAGCAAGATGTATTGTCGTTTTGGTAATTCCTAGGTTCGTTTCGAATTTAACAAAACGTTTTAAATAAACAATTATTTGATAAAAAGTGTTATATTTTTATAAAAACCATTAAAATGTCAAATGTATTTTGTTTCAACACTATTATCACTGATGCTGTTGGCGGAATCTGTTGTTTAACTAAGTGGTGCCGAATGCCGATGTCGGTTTCTTATGGTGTTGCATAAAAAAAAAAAATAAAATAGGTATAGATACCACCAATACAATTTTTCCAGATAGACAGTCCAACTGAAATACGATACAAATGCCAATTACTTATATCCAAATAGGCAAGCTATGACTTGTACATCCTAGTATCAGTTTACTCCCGTCCACCACGCGGCTCCACCAGCCTAAATTAGGTATTACATCCTCAATAAATATACATAACAATCGGAGCCACTGGTTTTAACTGCTAATGGAAATTTATAGTATTAGGTATTACTATTTAGTATATTTATTAATTATTACTTATTATTGATTTCGTTATCAGATAGTTAAAACTGTGATTTGTTAGTTATAAACTTATAAAGTTTTAAAAATATGGGTATGTTACGGTATTACATTAATTAATAACTTTTAGATATTCCACCAAAAATGTAATTTAGATTCAATTTATTTATTGTGTATGAGAAAACGAAAAATGTATGTTCCAGTAAGAAAAAAATAGTGTTTGTCAGCGTTTAGGAATTCAATTAGTTTAATGTCAAAAATGAGTTATATAACAACCACAAAAACATATTTTGTTGACATCAGCTGGTTTTAAATTGTTATGTCACTTTATTGGTCAGGTGGTTTTAAGAATAAATATGTGTACATTATGTGTAATTTATAGCATAATTGAAATGGCCGCAAGCATTTATATAACTGTTTCAATTTTCCATGTCGGGAATTAACTTTTGAGAGAAATTAATTTTCAGAAATACGGCTTGAGTTGGATACTTGGATGAACCTATATGTTTAAGTTTTAATAAAAAAACAAAGATATATTATTGTGTTCTATCAATCGTTCATTAAAATTCAGATTTATAAAAAGTATTTTTTCATCTTGGATTTTCTTCGCAATCATATTTTTGTGTTTTTGATTCAACCGCAAAACAATGTAATTAATATTTAAAATCGATTCGGACGTGCCTAAAGATATTATATAATTAATTTCTAGGCTTGTATGTGTTATGTACATAACGATTGACGGCAACGCAATGTATGTGTGAATTAATTTATAGTTATATACTGACTAATTGTTTTTTTTATCGTAAATCAGATTGAATATATTTTAATAAAAAAAAGTTATATACTGTCAAATGTCACAATGTGCAGTAATGCAATTTAATATGCTCTACAAAACATTATTAACCACGACACGAGTTGATGGAAACGAGACACGAGTAGGTAGTTGGAAAATTTACTCAGTCTCAAACTCTGATCTAGTGCTCATTATATCTATTTGGAAAATTACGGTTGCCTCGCAAGCCACATCAGACATCGTTGGAATTTATATAACTTTTCATAAAATTTATAATTCGACCGTGAAGTGTATTTTTGTTTTTTTTTCTTCTATCTATAATTTAATAATTTAATAGGGTCGATTTTCTGAACATGTTTACTGATGCAGTGATGTGCTTAAAGTTTTTTTCTTTAAGAAATAAAGATGAGAACTGTATAAATAGTTATGTATATAGGTACATGGTATGCTAACCATTTAACTCACATGAAATGTTTAGTCTTCTGGGTATTCAATACTGTATGTATTTTTATTTATTCTTCAAGAATATAATGCGTAACACCATAGGCATAATCCGAGGGGAGGGGGTAAGGAGGGCAACTGCTCCTTCAGATGTTTAAACGAGAAGGAAAATAGAGTAATTTTACCTTATAGATTTTTAGTCTTACTACAGACTGCCACCACCCCCAACCACAGGAATTTACCTCACATGGACATATTACGCCTATGTGCCCACTGAAAGGGCATGAG